TTTGCAGATGAGATCTGGATATTGTGAAAGGCACTGAATAAGCACTTCACAAAGTTAGCTTGGCATCAGATTTTTCTGAAAATATTTTAAAATTCATATTCTTAGGACTCAACCCAGACCTATTATTGTTATTTTAATAAATCATTTTGGGGAGCTCTTTTAAAATATTTTTAATGAATCATTTTATTGAGGCCTCTTACACCTCTCATAACAATCCATACATACATCCATTGTGTCAAGCACATTTGCACATTTGTTGTCATCATCATTCTTGGTATCAGCTCCTTATTTTTTTTCCCTCTCTCCCCCACCCTCCCTCCCTCATGAACCCTTGATAAATTAGAAATGATTATCATTTTCATATCTTACACCATCCACTGTTTCCCTTCACCCATGTTTCTGTTGTTTGTCACACTGCGGGGGAGAGGGGGTTATACACTGATCATTTCGATAGGTTCCCCTTTTCTCCCTCCACCTTCCCCCTACCCTCATGGTATTGCTACTCCCATTACTGTTCCTGAGGGGTTGATCTGTCCTGGATTCTGTGTGTCAAGAGCTCTTATCTGTACCAGTGTACATGATCTAGTCTATCCATATTTGTAAGGTAGAACTGGGCTCATAATAGTGTTGGGGAAGGACATATTAAAGAACTAGAGGAATGTTGTATGTTTCGTCAGTGCTATACTGCACCCTGGCTGGCTCATCCCTTCCTTGTGACCCTTCTGTGAAGGGATGTCCAATTGTCTACAGATGTGTTTTGGGTCCCCATTCTGCACCCCACCCCACCCTGTTTGCATTGATATGATTGTTTGTTTGGGGTCTTCTGATGCCTGATGCTTGATCCTGCTGACACCTTGCAACCACACAGGCTGGTGTATTTCTTCCATGTGGGCTTTGCTGCTTCCCAGCAAGATGGCTGCTTGTTTATCTTCAAGATTTTAAGACCCCAGATGCTATATCTTTTAGTAGCTGGGTACCATCAGCTTTCTTCACCACATTTGCTTATGCACCCATTTTACCTTCAGCCATTGTGTCGGGAAGGTGAGCATCACAGAATGCCAGTCAACCCAGAGCTATTAATGAAAATATTTTGGGCCAGGAGGATCAACATTTTCTAAAGTACCCCTAAGTGATGTGATATTTAGTCAACCTGAATATTTGGGATATCAGGATATAGGAGAGATGAACTGTTCTGGGAATTTCCATGAATAATTAACATTTTTAAAAATAGATTTTTAATACGACCAATACATTTTTCATACACACCTTTGACCAAAAATCTAGATATGAATGATGAAAAACTAAATTAGGAAGTCTGTTCAAATCCGAAATAAATCATGCCTTGTGAAAGTACAACTTCTTAGATAATGGCATTAAAGAAAATGAAGAGTATTCTGAAAAGTGTAGACTTAAGAAGTCCACCCATCAATCATTACTCATGTGTCAGCAGGTTAGCATCCTAAATGACACTGGGGAGCTAGGGTCATTATTTCATGAGAGTCACAGCTAATTGGCCTCAGAATGGGCTTAGTGATTCTGTTCTCCCTCAATGCTTGCTGTTTAGTGCCTGGGGTCTTAGGAGGTTGCAAGCAGTCAGCCAAAGCACAACAATTGGTCTCTCTTCCCTTGGGGCAACAGACGGGAGAGAAGAGTCAGTAACAGGAGGCGGAGATGGAATGTGTAACTAAGCACCCCATGAACACCAGCTCCTTGGATGGTGTCCTTCCACTATTACAGAACATTTTGATCCGAGACTTCTTGGAAAAAGCTGATCAAAGGTCAGGGGAGGGCATGCAGAACAGAATTTTAAATTCTCAAGGACTCTAGACTTTCTGGAACCCTGGAGGATAGTCGAACCCCTAAAACTACAACTCCAAGATCATCTTGAAATCTTAAACCAAAAATATCCCCTGAAGTCATCTTAAAACCACCAAATAGTTTAGTCTAAGTAGTAAAAGACTCTACCCTGACCCTTGTGCTCTTCCAAGAGCTAGCTATACGGGATCAAATGGACCACGGCATCTGGAAGTTTAGACAGGAACTTTAGGAGACACAGAACTTACACGGATCGGGTAGGAACGACTCAGTAAAGGAAGGTGAGAAATGGTTGTACAACTCAAAGCATATACTCAATATCACCAATTTGTAAACATGGAAACTGCTGAATTGGTGTATGCTTTTCTGTGTATATTCTCAACGACAACAAAATAAAGAAGATTTTGGAGGGGAAAAATCACCACAACATTATGAACCTAATCATCCCACTTATTACTCGGAAGTTTATCAAAAGCTCCATTTCTCTACATTTGGCTTTTTAAAATGTCAGCATCTGAATCAACACAATGCAATCCAAGCAAAAATTTCACATCGAAAATGCCTGACCCAAACAAGATTTAAAAAACCAAAAATGAGAACACCGGGTACACAATATTAGAAGGAAATTTAGTTGCAGGCATAGAAGAAAACCTTTGAGCTTACACGTTACCAGTGTATAAGTTATTGGACAAGAAAACATGTTTTGAATGGGCTTGGGCTCTGATAGAGCTGCCGGAAGATGAGCTCCCGTGTGGGAAGGCATTCCAAATTCCCGATGATGACGAGGATGGAGTGGGAACCCGGCAACCTTCCCTTCTGTTACCAGCGGGGCCATCACGACCCAGCGCCCATTCACTGGCCACTAACAATATCACAAATGACACCAACCCCTACACCGACCCCTCCAGGAATTGGTTATGCGGATTTCCACTGCCCTTCATCCTTTTCCTAAAAAACTACAGCAATGGGAAATCTGATTTCTAAGATGAAATCTTTTTTGAAAAGCCTCCTGCTCCCTGCCAAAAACAAAGGGAAAATCATGTTCTCATAAACCTGTGGGAAGAGGTTTTCCTTTAAACACAACACCACGCCTCCCAGTAGAAACCTGCCTGCCTTCCATGACCTATACGTTTCCTTCTGACCTTGACTAAGCCATGGATCTGCAATCCCCCAAACAACAGAAAGAGATTTACATCGATGTAGCATTGCTTAAAAAAGCAACTGGCTGGGTGAATTTATCTTGGTCAGTTTATTAGCAGCACCACCGTTGATGCATTTTATCATTTACTCCCTCTCCAAGTTTCATTGTCTCTATAAAAGTTAAGGATCAAAGACCATTTCATTTGGGGCCACCTCTCCGCCACGCAGGAGGGAACGTGCCTGGCTCACTTTATGGGGATGGATCTTCGCAATAACCCCGCCGAGGGATGACGGAGGCTTGGAGAAGTTCAATAGCTGGCTTGAGATCAGACAGCTGTATTAGAGCTAGAGTTTTAAACCATTTCAGCCACCAAAGATGGTGTTCCTGCCAGACTAATTCAGGTCCTCCTAGTTCGGACTGGGATGAAAAATCAACATGAGTAATTATCATTCTACTTCTTCGTCACTAATTGATTAGTCCCATTATTCTAGTTCTTCACTATCATTTCCTAAACATCTCTATTATTTAAACATTTCTTACCAGACAAAGGATTAAGGAATTTGGCACTCAAGGCAAGAATAATTTGAGAGCTTTATCTTTACAAAGAGGGAAAACTCACAATATTGATCAATGAGGAATATCTAGTTCAACATTACCATATGATTAAAAGGCAACTCACAGAGACTTTTAGACTGCTTAGTACCTCACCAGCAACTCAACATTTAGTGAAGTGAATGTACAGAAATTAATTTTCTTTATGAATATATAACACATAGGTTATTTTTTCACAAGGTGAAAATAGTGGCCAGATGCATAGCAGCCACAGTTATTTCCACAGCTTCATGTGTGAAAAAGAAAACGGATCTATTACATGTCCTGCCCTCAAAACATTCTCCTTGCAAATTATCTTTTTTTAATTAGTAGGACCAACGTCATCCCATCACCAAGAGTCAAAAACCCAGTCACCTTTGACCCTCCACTCTCCTCCTGATTCCAGACCTGCTCTGTTTCAAATCATTTCAAATGCAGACCCTTGACTCCTTGGCACACATCCTCCTCAATTCGAGGGGCATGGACCTTGTTAGCTAAGTGTGCTCCTTCCCTTGCTCACAGATACAGCTAAGATCCTACCTCCCGTCTCCGTTCTATCCTAATGCTAATCCATTTGGCACGCTGGAGCAGACTCGCCATCCGAAAGAGATGTTGATCATAGAACTTCCAACACAACCATTCTGCATGAGTTCTTATGACCTCTAATTCAATACTCTCTAAAAGCTGGCTCCATCCAGCTTCTCTTTCAAAAGCTTAACTGCATTTATCCTCATAATTCGTCCAACATTCAAGCTCACCGATTCTGGCCGCAGTTCACCTTCCCCAGCTCTGTGTCCTTGGTGAAGGCCTCTTACCACCTAAGATGTTTTCACCTCTGATTTCCACAGAAAGCAACCCTGCTATCCTTTTAAACTGAGAGTAAAAGCTCCTTCTCCATGAGCCCACCTCTGACCTCTCAGACGGGAAGGAATCACTCCCCCGTTGAGCCTATATCGTACTTGACGCAGATAGCTCTTTTGGAAATCGACACTTATACCTTATTATAGTTCTCTGTGTATATCTTATTGTTTGGACCAACTCTACGCATCTATTACAGACACACCTCTCTATCTCCCGCAGCATCTAGTTTAGATCTTTACCTACTACGAACTCAAAGAAACTTTAATGCGTAGATTTCACAGTTCCATACCAAAGGAGAATACAACGGGGCTTCAACATCTTATGGGGAAAATCCCATTATCTTTCCATTCCATTCCATTCCCATGACTTTTTTTGAAGCCCCCTCATATGTATCATTATCATTTAAGCAACCTTTAGGTTTAAAGAAGACAAAAGGCGTATTTTTCAAGTGTTTGATATGAAGTATTATTAGCAACCAAGAAAAAAATCTTTTCCAGCCATCAGCCATCAGTCAACACCCCAACAACACACACACACACACACACACACACACACACACACACGAAGCACAGGGTTTAACCCGACGCCTTACTTTTCGGTAGACAATCATATTTGGAGAACTCTCCTCTGGGTCAGCAGTCCCCATTGCTCTTTGCTCCCCTGGTCCCTGCGCCATTCTGAGCGTCTTTGCTCACCCTGCAAGAAGAAATGAATAGGCTGCTAAGTCAGAACAAATTATATGAAGAGAGCTTTGAAATGAAAAAAAAAATCTAACTTTGGCATGAAAATGAAACATGATGTCATTTTGTACTTGTCCTCATTAATAAGTTGGGTTTGTAAATTTTTTTTGTATTTTTTAAGTTAGGGATCCTGGTGATTTTATTATCCACATACGTTCTTCTAATCCCAAAACAACATGTTTCCTTTCAGGCCCGTACCATGTGGCCTAGGGGTGAATACAAGTCAGCCTTAAATAAGCCCCTGAATAATCCCCCTGAAGACAGATGAAGCCAACCATTTTGCATTCAAAATTTTAAACCCAGGCCCATTTTCTCATTAATTTTATGCATTAGAACATGAATATTTTAATGTGGTCTTCTTAAAAGCCTGTAATGAGTGATATAATGATAAAGATATGGGCTATTTAAGCCATGCACCAAGTTCAGTTCTTGGTGTGACACTATATTTTCTCTGTGACCTTGAGTAAGTTAAGTAACTTGTTGGGTTTCTTCTATTAATTAAAAACACAAAAACAAAACAGGATAGATGCCCAGAACCATGTCGGAGTACCCTCCTATCCTCACTAGAGTGTGAATTTCCCCCAAGTCCCTTGCAGCTCAGGTCAGACAGACTGAGCATCACACTTTCACATAAAGCCATACCCGTCCTATACAAATGTTATCACTGAGCTAAGAGGCTGCCTGGGTTATTTGCACAAAATTCATAAGCTTTTCATCAAAGAAACCTTTATAAATCCCGTGCTTGACAGAAAAGGCCATTTCAATTTGAAATTTTACAAATGCAAGAAACATTTAATAATCAAATAACTTGTGACCAAAGGTCATTCCATAAAACACGAATTTTGGTGAAAGATGGGGAAAGACACAGGAATTGGTCATTTCTGCTACGAATGTAACCGCCCAAAAGATCCCAGTTCATGAGGCTGCTTGTGTTCTTCATTGTTTAGGAATGAGGGTGGATTTTAAAGTTGCCTTCCATAAACAGAGGAAAAGGAGCGGTCTCTTTCCTCTCTCCATTGTAACATCTGTATTTCTTGGATCTAGCACTCCACAGCAGCCCTGGTTACTCATCTAACCGGCTTCATTTAATGTTAAATGAACAATGCACCGCTCCATTTGTTTAAACAACGACTTAGGTGTCTCCCCCTTTCACGACCCGACACGAAAACCAGACGTTGTTTCCATTTATATATGCTCACTTGTCTCTGTCGCAAAGCCCATTGGGGCTTCTACTGCCTTGTTGAACATGAACACTCACACTTTAATAGGCATATCTGTTTCCATCTAGAAAACTGTGTTATACTAGAAAGGTTGGGAATCACCTAGAAACAGACATGGCAGCCCTCTCTTTCCTCTGTTAGAACGGGCAACTCTTCCAAGGGCTGGACTGCTAAGTCCATACAGACAATCCCCACACTAGGAATTTCTTTGAGTCTGAGATGCAGTAGAAAAGCTGCTAATTTTGGCTTCTCTATCCATTCATTTTTGAAACCTATACAAGTCATTTAGCTTCTCTGGGTCTATAAAGCCACTCTCTTGTCCAGGTGTCAACAGACAATAGAGAAAACTGGATGTGAAACTTCACATAGGTAAAGATGTTCTAATTAAACACACTGACTGCACAAGTGGGGTTCAACCTTAGTGCAAGGTTGTTTTTCAATGTTTTGTGTTGGGTTTCCTGGCCGTGAAGAGCAGGAAAAGTGGATGTATAATGATAATAACAGATACAAGGGGATATGGGGAACACAGGGTGGGGGGGGGACATAGGGAGGGAAAGGGGATTTTGGGAGTAACTAATGAAGACAGGAGGGGGGAGGGAGCACAGCATGGATTGTGATTGCACAAGTCACCTTAAAGGCCACTTAACTATGGGGTGGGGGTGGGGATGATCTAGAATTGATGTTTGGCTGATTGTACAATTCTCCACGATATGATTGAACTACTGAATAATATGATATATAAGTTACTTCCCAATAAATCCATTAGAAAAAATAAGAGTACTAACTATACCATGGGTTGCCAGAATAATGAATAAGTCAGTCTTAGACGAAAAACAAAGAGAATGATCCTTAGAAGCCAGGATGGAGAAACATCGCCTTGCTTACTTTGGACATGTCATCAGAGAAAACTAGTCACTAGAAAAGGACATTGTGGCAGTTACATCATCTACTGTCAAGGGTAGGGGTGGAGTCTAGCTTGTCAATCAGGTCACAGTTAATGAGGCTTCTGTGTGGGCATAGCCTTCTCATGAGGATTCTGGGAACTCCTGTCTTCCTCCCTGGATGTGGGACACACACTTTCCCTGTGAGACATTCCTATTGACAAGCCACATGGAACTATGCTGATGGAGCAAGGGCCCTGGAGCTGGAAGAGCCACGTGGAGAAGCCACGACAACGCTGAGATGCTTCCACTTGCCACTGGATCCACATGACTTTCCACCCACTGGTCCATGATCTTCCTGCGGTTGGTGTCATTGCATGTGTTGAATGAGTTTGAAGAGGAATTAATAGACTGGTATCAGACACATGGGCCAATATCAGACTTATGGACTTGATCTGGATTGAGCTGGGATGTTTTCTCAATATACAATTGTTCATTTATATAAAGCTCTTTCTTATACACGAGTGTCTATGAATTTGTTTCTCTAGTCAACCAGGACTAACACAAACATCATGCTTTGTAAAGTAGTTGTTATCATTGTTAGTTGCCATTATGTCAATTTGGGTAAAGTAGAAAGCCAATAAAAATGAGGGAAACCCTCAATGAATGGATTGGCACAACAATGGCCTCAAATATGTCAGGCACACATACACACAAAACATAAAGACAGCACACAAAAGTGGGTAACATTTTGTTGTGTTATTCATGGGATCTCCGAGAGCTGGTGCTGATTCTATGGCAATTAAAATCAATAAGAAGACTCATTTCAGACTTCTGGCCTCCAGAAGAAGACATTTATGCTGTTTTAAGCAATAAAAGATAACTCCAGAATGTCCTGCAGTATCTCACTAACATCATTACCCAACTCTTCTATTTAGTAGTGCTCATGCTCAAATTCCCAAACAAGCACAGAACTTCTCCATTAGAGCATCCCCTCATCTGATACTGCATCCCTCTCCATGAAGGTCTCATGTAACACGGATTACTTAAAGGAACTGAAAATGTTCTTTCATAAGGGTCCGTCCTCAAAATAACACAACTCACTGCCATCAAGTCAATGCCAACTCACAGCGACTCTATGGCTAGGTGCTAGGCCCTGGAGATACAGATAGTCTGTATAAACTATCTAAATAAACCTGACACAGATAGTCTCCTTAAAAAGCTTAGAGTCCAAAAAAAAAAAAAAAAAAACCCCACTTGAGAGTCCAATATTGATAACAGAGATGTCCACAGAAGCAAAGCATTGCGATGTATAGTGCTCAGTGACAACTTAGATTGGAGTCGAAAGATAAACAGGAGATCAGAGCCAGTTGCTCCAAGATGAGAATGCAACATACAGGCATGCAGCAGAGAACCAGTGGAGAGGTCTGAGGTGCCGGCCCAATCCCAACTGTGTGGACAGCTGCCCCTCCCCCCAAAACAATTTACTTCAGAGGACAGCACTGAAGCTACAGCTCAGGGAGAGGGACATGTTGATCAGAGCACACAGGAACAAATGAAGGGGGAGGAAGAGAGCGCGGAGCTCATCCTGGCCCACTGAGCCTTGAAGATGATATCCCTGCTCAGAGCAGCCAATGCACAGAGTGGACCACATGGCCGGACCCACTACGAGACACGACGCCCCTCACTAATCCATAGCCCTACAGGGGACAACACTGGAGACACAGTGTAGAAATTGCACCCAGTCGGACCCCACCACACAGAGACAAAACA